TCTGGTAACTTCCTGGTTGAGTAGAAGTTTGTGTTTATTGGATGAAACTTGTTTTCTGTGACCAAAGAAAGGTAAGCGCTGACATGCTGGTGTGTGATTTACCACACAAATTTTAATTTATTGAAGCCCAACATAAGGTGCCACAGATGTACAATAGATGCACAAATATAAAATGTTAAAAACACAAAGTTCTTTCAGCTGAGGTCCTCAATGAGGATCTTCTCATGTTTCTTGAGGCTTTGGTAGAAGGCTTCTTTGGCGGCATCGCCAGCTTTCAGAGGGCCGTTGTAGAGCGCCCTCATCTTCTCCTGAGGGGTCTGCTGAGCTCTGATTTTATCATAAGCTTCTTGTTGGATGATTTTTTCTTTTAGCTCTTCCAGAATCGGTTCGATGTTGCTCACTCTCTGGATCAGCTCGACTCGGTGTTCATCCACAAAGTGTTTTTGTCCTGAGGGGAAAATGACAGCGACTGATTGGAGTCTTGCTTCATTGCTTTTATATCAAAATGCAAGAACACATTTTTATTTAAAAACATAAATCACTGAAGTTTGTTAAAGAAAAATCCAGAAATATTGATGTCATTGTTTGGGTTCTCTGGTAATGAGACCAGAGGATTATTATATGAGTGGCCTGCCTGTGTTTTACTGATTTTATCCTTTGTTCCTTTTTCCATCGTCATTACTATCAGTGATTCATTTGTGCTGTATTATTCGCCTCCCAGGAGTTTTGATTAAAGTTCTTTATTTTTCACCTGATCACCGTCTCATCTGCAGTTTGAACTTCAGGAACGTGACAAACGCTGTGACACGTTTCTGTTTCTAATCAAACACATTTACTGAGGACAGCTGTGTGCTTACCATCAGCCAGAGCTCTGACACCAGTTGCTCCTGTTGATGGTCCTGCATCTGAAAAAAAAATGTGGTTGTTAAACAAATCAACTGCTGTAACTATAGCAACAACAACAACAAAAAACCCCACAGGTAAACAGACTCAAGTTTTCTCATTTGTTTGTTCTGCCCACTCCTGCTCTACCTGAAGGAACTCCAGCAAATGTGAGGTTTTACATCCTGGTCTTACGTGCTTGCCTGCAGAATCTAATTTAATGGTTTGTCAGCTGAATACATGTTGTACCAGTTATTTCTTAGCATATCTGATTTCAGAGCAAGTCAAAGTATATTTAGTGTCATTTTCATTATAATCAAAGTTCAATATTTTTGAAAGGAAAACATTTCCCTACATTTGCTGTTCTTTATGACTGAGTTCACCAGTGCTTTATTATCCCTCTTACAGGTGTGTGTAGTCTGCATGTGCTCAGCTTCATCTTCCTTAAATTCTAAAATCTGCTCCTGGTTTGTGGAATTCTACTTTCTTGTTGCTTCCTCAGATTGGAGCTGATGAGTCTATATCTGTAACCTGCCTGCCAGTCTCACTGTTATCTGCATCTTCAGCAACATGATGAGAGCTGTGAGTCTGGAGACACTTTACCAGTTTTCTCCACAAAGTAAGCATGAAACCCTCCCAGTGGTCCCTGGTTTAATCTGGGAACATGTGATGTGTATCTGGCACTTTCATAAAACATTTTTCGACCTTTCAAGAAATGTGGAATTCCAATAAAATGAATAAACATGAATAATTAAATCTTAGATTCTCATTTTAACACGAAGAAAGAAAAAAAGACCTAAACATCAAACATCTGTAAAAACCTCTTTACTATCACTTGCACTGACCTTTAAAGCTTCTGCTGTTGCTCACAGACCATCTGTAGAAACTTCACATAAACATCAGGTCACAGGATGAACTCACCTCT